CCGTCCTCACTCTCTGCTTGACGAGAACCCCAGTGACCTGACGTCCGTACCGCCTCACATGTCTCCAGATTATTTCATGGCCAGTTCTTATCCCAAACCAGTGGTTTTCGTGTTGCATTTTAGTATCCGTATGTGTATGTGTGCGTGTGTGAGCGAGAGAGAGGTGGATGGCAGACAGACAGGCAGAGAAAGAGAAACGTATAGGCATACAGAAAGAGAAAATAAAATTAGGCTTGTGTATGCCATGTAACCATGGTTAAATAACTGCATTTCTGTACCCTTGTAGTTTTATCGACATGTAATATAGTAACTACTGATGAATGATTCAGCATTTCATTTTTACTTTTTTCTGCGTAAGACAAAATACTAAGGCCGACAGTAGATACGTAGCGCAGACACTATGAACGCAGACGCTATGCCACCGTTATAACATATTACACAATATATTTACTCTGGCATTAGAGAATAAAATAAACTCTGTCAAAAAATGAATATTGCACTAAGGTGTGTGCTAAGAATATTTTATGTGCAGCAAATTTGGTTCTGGAAATCCCTTACAGGTATATATATTTATACATTTAAAGAATATTGGATACTTCAATTTGGATATCAATTCTAGGTTATTCTGCAAGCAATAATTTTCAGTGTTTCCGTTCTATTAGAATTAATCATGAATGGTGGGGGGAATATAAACGTCTATTGAAAATGTTAAACAATTTATTTGTGTGGACTAGAATTTCGTTAAAGAAGACGCAAGGACTGTCACTGGGATATCTTCGATCGCAGAAAAAGTGGCTCCGCCATCTTCCTACTGCGACGTCGGAGGAGACACACAGGCGTCGCGATCCTGCGTCGCGCTCAGCTGGTTCTTGCGCCACTTGATGCGTCGGTTCTGGAACCACACTTTGAGCTGCAGCTCACTCAGCTCCAGCTGCCTGGCCAGGTACCGCCGCTCGGGGCCCACCAGGTACTGCTGCCGCTGGAACTCCTCCTCCAGCCGCTGAAGCTGCGAGTCCGTGAACACTGTGCGATGGCGCTTGAGCTTTCCGGGGGCGTCCCTGAGGCCGGTGTCGGAGGACTCCCGCTGAAGGAGGGAGAGCGGAGATGCAGGCGGGGAGGCGGTCGTGGCGGGAAGGTCCTTTTGAGTGTCAAGTCCCAGAAGGGCGTCGATGGTGAAGGCCTTTGCCTTGTGAGACATTCGTGAGGGCGTGAAGCTGTGGGCGGGAGGAGGGCTGACGGGCGGCGCCCATGGGTGGCTGAAGGCCCACGCAAAAGGCTGGAAGTTCATCACTGAGATCTGGTCCATGTTTGCTGTGTGGTGGGACAGGTATGACGACATGTGTCACCCTGAAGCTTATATACCCCTCACCTCGGGGGTTCCAACCAATCAGAATGCGTCTAGGCTAATTAGTGGATCAGAGTCGGGCACAGTTAACACGTGTAGAAATTATACTCACGTGCATAGTTTATTTCGGCGGGTACTGTTTTTTTTCTTTCATTTCTATTTATTTTTATCTATCGAAAGAAAACATGCCAGCAAGTAACTACAAGGATTAACATATCCTTAATACATGCCTTTACTTTGATCATCCAAAGCATATATATTATTATTGTCATTGATGTGATTACTTATGCTCTTGTGAATAGCGGTCTACAGATGGGAGAATCCTTATGACGCTTCGAGAATAATAATTTGATATCAATTGTAAAAATATATATTATTAATAGGAATATATTTCCCACGTAAGCTGTATATCATGTCTTATTAACTTAAACTACATTTGACCTGAGCTGACCTAAGGTGACCTCTGGAGAAGATCTTGTGAGCGGCGAGTAATACACGAATCCTTTTCCTTGTTTATTGCCTTTTTATTCAATGTATTCTATCTGTTTAGATGTTCTACATTGACAAGTAATATATTCAATAATGCTAATGGATTATTTTTACTACTTTTCATATACTTCCTGATTCAAAGCAGTTCTGTTGTTCGATGAAGGATAAGGAACACAACATGAAAACAAGAGAGGTGAAATAAAGAATTACAATCACAATAACGAAAAATGTGCAGAATTACAGCATACATACACACATATTCATACATGCATGCACACACGCCTCCCACATAAACATAGTAAAATAAAGCAGAGGCTGCGAGCAAGATATACGTCCCCAGGGATTGTCCCACCCTTACATGGTGCGTTAGGGTGCTTGGCCCTTGGTGGCCATCTCTCGGCGCCTCTTGATCTCCTGTGGTTTTTGCTGGGGTTCGTTTCAGGTCAATTATATAGTTTTCCGGTCAATTAAGGGGAGTATTCCTCTATAGGAAGTAGGAGAGAGAGAGAGAGAGAGAGAGAGAGAGAGAGAGAGAGAGAGAGAGAGAGAGAGAGAGAGAGAGAGAGAGAGAGAGAGAGAGAAAGAGAAAGAGAAAGAGAGAAAGAGAAGTTGAGAGTCAGAATTTCGAAAATCTAGTTGGTTATTTATCTTTAAGATATACATATG